CCCGGCCGGCTGGGTGGATGGGTGGTGGGTCCACTCGCCCGTCGTCCTCCCTCCCTGGCGGGCTGTGTGGGTGGCTGTTGTGTCCACTCGCCCGTCTCCCGGCCGTGCTGTGTGGATGGCTGTTGTGTCCACTCGCCCGTCGTCTCCCGGCCGTGCCGTGTGACTGTTGTGTCCACTCGCCCGTCGTCTCCCGGCCGTGTCGTGTAGACGGGTGCTGTGTCCACCCGCCCGTCGTCTCCCGGCCGTGCCTTGTGGGTGCATGCTGTGTCTACCCCGCCCGCCGTCTCCCGGCCGTGCCGTGTGGATGACTGTTGTGTCCACTCGCCCGTCGTCTCCCGGCCGTGCCGTGCGGACGGATGCTGTGTCCACCCGCCCGTCGTCTCCCGGCCGTGCCTTGTGGGCGCATGCTGTGTTTACCCCGCCCGCCGTCTCCCGTCCGTGCCGTGTGGACGGATGCTGTGTCCACCCGCCCGTCGTCTCCCGGCCGTGCTGTGTGGGTGCATGCTGTGTCTACCCCGCCCGTCATCTCCCGGCCGTGCTGTGTGGGTGCATGCTGTTCTCCCCCCCCGTCCGTCTCCCCGGCCGTGCTGGTGGGTGCATGCTGTGTCTACCCCGCCCGCCGTCTCCCGGCCGTGCTGTTTGGACGGATGCGGTGTCTACCCCTCCTGTCGTCTCCCGGCCGTGCCTTTTGGGTGCATGCTGTGTCTACCCCGCCCGTCGTCTCCCGGCCGTGCTGTGTGGACGGATGCGGTGTCTACCCCCCCCGTCTCTCCCGGCCGTGCGTGTGAACGGATGCTGTGTCTACCCCTCCCGTCGTCTCCCGGCCGTGCCGTGTGGACGGATGCGGTTCTACCCCGCCCGTCATTTCCCGGCCGTGCTGTGTGGACGGTGGACCGGCCGTTTGCACATACTCGTCCGCCGGCGGCCCTGCCCCGCAGGACACGTGGGGCCTGCCGGCTGGTCAGCGCGTCCCGTCCGCCCCGGACACGGCCAACCAGCAGCGGCGGATCGAGCCCTTAACAGCCGGCGGGGTGGGGTGCGTGGGGGGGGGGGGGCAACATCGGACCTTCCTTGGATTTGGTCTGTGCGGATTATTTTGGGGCATGGCTGCTTGTTCCCCTTACACGCGCTCGGGTGGGAAGGGTCAGGTTGACCCTCCCAAAGGTTTTTTCCAGAATGGGTTCCGAACGGCGCGGCGCAGCCGCGCCAAATTTTGCATAGCTGTATACAATTGAATTGCGGATCGTTTGGTGTAAAAATTTAGATGTACCTTGTAAGTTCGCTGACCTGTGGCAGGTCAAAGTCAGGCCATGGTTTCAGCGAAGTCAGTTTCTAGGGAATCGTTTAGTATGATGCAACAACGAAGTGTTAGACGAAACCATGCATCTCTAAAATGCTTTCTTAGGCAGCACAAATATTGAATGAGCAAATTACGTTGACCTAAGGTCAGGTATGGACGTCAGAGCAAGGCCAAAATAAACCTGTTTTATTACTCTGGGGTTTTCTTTATGGGGGAGTTTCTGGTGCTCATTCATAATTTATTAATAGCAGGAACCGTATTATACATCTTTCATGAACTTCTTAGAGGTCATAATAGGTCATTGACCTAAAATGATCCAGGTCAACATTTTGTCTTTGGACATACTACCTAGCGTAATCTTTGTCGCTAGCGTATTCCTAGCGTAATATTATTCAAATGCAACACTCAAAGCAGTCTTGTATGATTTTGGTTACCATGACCTTCAAAAGGTCAAACAAGGTCGCGGACCGTAAATGGGCGTGTGGCCTTTTGCTTAGAAACAGTCAGCTAGGTTCTGGGGTACTTCGGAGACCAACCTGAAATTTGACCTTGTTTAACCTTATTTGACCCGGAGGTCATGACCTAGGAACCTCAAACTTTGAGTAAAATGAGTTCACGTACAGGTCAACACAACCTGTGAATTTGGTGTCTCTAGCCTTTTTATTTCCCGAAATATCAGCAGGTCAAATTGACACCCACCCGAGCGAAATGTGTCCAGCTGGCCACCCGGGCGCGTGTTAGCACGTGCTCGGGTGGGAGGTCAAATGGGGCCCCCAAGGGTTTTCCGAAATGGACTCTGAACGTCGGGGCGTCGCGCGCCAAATTTCGCATAGCTGTAGACAATTGAATGGCGGATTAGATGCACCTTGTAAGGTCGATGGCCTGTGGCAGGTCAAGTCAGGCCATGGTGTCAGCGGAGGCACGTTCTAGGGAATCGTTCAATCTGATGCAACAACGGAGTGTTAGACGAAGCCAAAATCTCAGATGCGTTTTTAGGCAACGCAACAATTGAACGACCAAGTTCCATTGACCTAGGGTCAGGTATGAAAGTCAGACCAAAGTCAAAACCAACCTGTTTTATTACCCTAGGGTTTCCTGTGTAGGGTACCTTCTGGTGCTCATTTCGAATTGATTGATGACAAGAACGGCATAAGACATCCTCCATGGACCCCTTAGAGGTCCGGATAAGCCACTGACTTAAAATGACCCAGATTATCATTCTATTTTTAGGAACATACTGCCTAGCGTAATCTTTGTCGCTGATTCAAATGCAAAACTCAAAGCAGTCTTCTATGATTTTGGTCGCCATGACCTTCAAAAGGGTGAAACAAGGCCACGGACCGAGAATGAGCATGTGACATTTTGCTTAAAACAGGCATCTAGGTTCCGGGGACACTTTGGAGACCAACTCGGAGATTGACCTTGTTTGACCGTATTTGACCTGAAGGTCATGATCTAGTGACCTAAAAATTTGACTTGAAAAAAGTTCGTACAGTTCAAGACAACCCTGTAAATTGAGTGTCTCTAACCCTCTTACTTTCTGAGATCTCAGCGGGTCAAACTGACCCCCACCCGAGCGAAGGGCATCCAACCGACCGCCCGGGCGCATGTTACGAATCTGTTTGCTTTCGTCCGTCGCCTCCCGCGTTGGCTAACCGTTGACGTCGGCGTTGGCGGCGCCAGCCGGTCGTGGACAAGATCGCACCAGCTGGTCAGTCCGAACGTTCGCTCCCTGCCGCGTAGGCATGTCGTCGTCCGTTCAATGTAGGCAATGTCGGTCTGACGCGGCACATTGGTTTCGTTTGGGCTGATATGCTAAACTGGCCAGAACCCGCTTCTGATTAGTGTCGCCACAGGGGAATGAACTGGCGCTCCGCAGCGTTGTGCTCTGCCACACACGTGCGGTCAGCACAGCCGGCCCCGGACCAGACATGGGACGGAAGGCTGGTTTTTTGGCACTGATGCACGATTTTGTGGGTATGGTTCAGAGTTTCGAACTGACGGTCTGGATGTGGCAGACGTGAGCGCTGTTCCAATTGAACATTCAATGTAGCGCGAGTCGGTGTCCTGTCCGAACCCCGTCCCCCTGCGAGCCAGTGACCTGTCCGACCCGCCCGAGCTGCGAGCCAGTGACCTGTCCGAACCCGTCCCGCTGGGAGCCGGTGACCTGTCCGAACCAGCCCCGCTGGGAGCCGGTGACCTGTCCGAACCCGTCCCGCTGGGAGCCGGCGACCTGTCCGAACCCGCCGCGCGGGGGGCCAGTGACCTGTCCGAACCCGTCCCTGCTGTGAGCCGGTGACCTGTCCGAACCCGTCCCGCTGGAGCCGGTGACCTGTCCGAACCCGCCCCGCTGGGAGCCGGTGACCCGTCCGGACCCGTCCCGCTGGGAGCCGGTGACCCGTCCGGACCCCCCGCCCCGTTGGGAGCCGGCGCACCCGGCCCCCGTTGCCCGGACGTCGCGATTGATTTTGTGCCGGCGGCGGTGGCGGCGCCGCGCCGCCGCCGCCGCCGCTGCCGCTCAGTCGGCGCCCAGACGCGGCGCGCAGCGGCCATGGACACGGTGCTGGCATCGCTCGGGCTGGGCACGCGCTACTGCCTGGTCAGCGACGACCACGAGCGGCCCGAGTCGTACGGCGACGACCACGAGCGAGGCCCGCAGACACCCTGCTCGAGCGCTGCACCGACCTCGGCGCCGTGCACGACACGTTCTCGCGCACGCCGGCCAGTCGGCCGGCCAGCCTGCTGAGCAAGACTGAGGCCGGACAGTGAGCAGAAGCGACCGGCTGTGCGGCGCGAGCGGTCC